ATCGTGGAACAGCTTCGTTGGCACAGGTATCCACGATGGGCCTGTGCCCCCTGCCTGTGATGAATTCACATCAATGGAAAAAGAACGATCTCGGTGGTAGTGGAAAGGTGAAAAGGTGGAAAACCCTTAGAACCAGGGTGTGACACACACACACACACACACACGCGGTATTTTGTATTTTGGGCTGTAGCATCGGACATCTAAAAGAACTCCCCTGAAGAAGCGCAGACGACCACGCGACCACAGCCCGCAAGTGGTTGGTGGAGATGCATGAGCAAACATGGAATTGCCACTGGAATTGCCTTAAGATTCAGTGCTACATCCTGCTGATGATCTCTGCAGTAAAAGAGATACTAAATCAAGGCTACATCTCTGATGTTCTCTATGATATTTCGGCCATCGGCTCTTCTTGGGCGGGATTCGCTCCAGCCGTTCCCTGGCCTCGGTGGCAAACATCCGGATCTGTTCATCCGAGGCATCGCCGAGGCCGGTGTTGGAAGTTGCCTCGATCGACGCTGCACGACTGACCCGAACGGAACCAAGGGCATCGCTCCGAGGGGCTCCGAGGGGCTTACTACTAGTAACAAGAAGCTATTAGGAGCAAAGGGGCAAAGTCTCAACTCTACTGTAGGATAAATACTGTAGCTGTTGAACTTATGAAATCAATTGGAATGACTTGACACCCCACCTCACATACTTGAGACAGACTGTACATTGAGTGCCTGCAGCTTCCACAACGTGTCGCGCACAGCATGAACCTGCCGCATTTCCTCCACTGCACGTGGATTGTAGAGGAGCCTCTGCTCGATGGAATGCAATGCCAATGTGGACGAACTGCTACATTGGCAAAAACTGCCCCCTGCACACACACGAAAGGCACAAAGCAAAAACAGGGATGGAGCATGCAAAAAGTAAAAGTGGGGTGGGACGGTTCTCGACTGGACATGTTTATTCAGAGCCTTGTTGTGACATTTCCTGTAATGCCAAGTAGCTCATTCATGATCGTCAACGCCTGCACCGACACACGTGCAACCCAGCGCTGTGCTCTTGTAAGGCTGACTTTTCTTAGCTGTCAAAGTTAGAGAGGCCAAAGTGCAAGGAAGTTACAACACTGGCTTCAGGGACTAGGCGAGACGAGACAAGTGGCTAGTTTCCTGATTTGTCCTACAAAAACTAGTTATAATTAACTATGGTCTAATATATCTTGAAGACAGCCTACCACAATAGTACGTCCAGATACAAGCAGTACCAAACTGCAAAATATTCCCAGTCTATTTTTGAAATTGTGAGCCGGAAAAAGTGTGAAACATCGCTGTTTGCCTCACACGCTTGATCTTGTCACCCATGTCTGTCAGCTCCGTTGGCTTCGCACCTTCAGCTTCCTTCGTGGCGGGCCCGCAGCGTCACCAAAGGCGCCCGCCAAAAGACGCACGGCCTCCGTGGCCTCGTCGGCGCGCCAGTGAGCGTGGATGCTGAGGGGGATGCAGGATGATGTGTGAGAAAAAGAGACCAATGCTGTGACACAGCGGTTTCAATATATATATATATATTACATTACACACCCATATATATACATAATTATACATACATATGTTATGCACATGCATGTCCATGTTATATATGTCACAGTCACAGTCAGGAACTATACCCATTCGTGCGTGTCCTCCACAAAAATTCATAATTGTCACACAAAGAAACACAACATAGTACAACAGAAGACACGGTTCAAAGACAGAAAAACACCTACAGTAAGTGCAAACCATGCACAGGCCACCGACAGGACCGCCTCTGAAGCCCCCAGCAAGCCCAAGGACTAAAAGTGTATCTGTGATCATATTCAGTGAAGTCACAAAGAAAATTCGGGGAAATTGTAGCGCATGAAAAAACACCAGTTGCGGAATTATACACATTGACATTTGTGTGTTTTCATGGATAAGTTTGAAATTTAAAGCAACATCCTGTGCTATCGAGACTGATTACATGTCCTTGTCTGAAAGTTTGCTAACATACATTTATATAAATATATATATATAACTACATTACATATTTGATGGCGTACCCTCTCATTCCGTGCAAAGCTGGATCACAGAAGAAAACAAAGGGAGTGGTTTCGACTTTCGTCAAACTACTCGTCAAACATGCTTGCCCTAGAGAAAAAGGTGTCTGAACTCCTGAAAGCGCGTGTGACAAAAAACAACTCCAGATGCTCTCAGAGCGTGTCGCCTCCCGTGGCTCTTTGGCTACACGTTCGCAAATCTCCGTGACCTGTGTGGCGTCGCCAAGAGGTCGGACGGCCATGCGGCCATGACCAACGCCCCACCAACATTCTTCCAATATCTTCCGAAATGTTTCGTGTGATCTTGTGGCTTGCATAGCGAGATTTTCATCAAGAGACTCAGAGATGCACACTTGGCAATGATCTTGCCAAATAAAAGCAACTGAACAGTTCTGCACGATAACTGGGGCACCTTCGGAAAGTCCACGGTGCTGCCCGCAGCTAATGCCTTAAACAACTGTATTGGGCTGATGTTGTTTTGTGCATGACCAACCCAAACAGGTCACTGTTCCAGCAAGCCATTGATTTGATATGAAGCCGCACTTCAACTCGAGTTGATCTTTGATTAGAAGGAAACGATGCATTGCAAATGCAATAAAATGGATTGCGAGTGGATGCTGAGGACCAGCTTGAGGCAGGTGCAAATATATATATACTCATATATATATATTCTACAGTACATTCTTCTACCACACAGGTTATGCGCACAAAAATCGCTGGAACCGCAAGCAAAAAATGACATTCCACCAACTCTGCTGCCACAGCTGCATCGAAAATGTGCTCGCCAACGGTTTGCTCTGCACCTGGCAGCGGCAAATGCAAAAGGCAGCCAATGGCAAGATAGGAGGTTGATCCGCGCGTGCAGGCACGTGCTTTTGAGCTGGCTGCCCCACTTCTCTCCAAAAGCCTGTGGAACATGTGTGATAATTTGTGTGCGTGGCTGGGTTTCAGAGCGTGCCAAAGCCCTTCATTTGCCCAAACGCCTTCCAAATCATATCCCAACACCCTCATGAGTTCTCTGCCTTGCGGCGGGGCGATCTTTTTGCTCAGCGTGGACTCCTGCAAGAGATCATCCATCTAAATCGATCTGGTCATCTGTTGACCAAGAGACGAACGGTCCGTCTGTGTAGATCGACCAAACATGGATCGACCGTCTCTCCCTCCCCGAGACAGCCCCTCCAACATCGACCAAGCCCATCAAGCCAGCTGGGAGGTCTCTTCCGTTCTTCTAAGTTAAAGGGGCCTTGAAGGAGACTCAAACACCTTCTCTTTTCCTACCTACTCAACTCACTTTCTAGAAGGACATGGAACAACATGAAACTCGCCACTGCACATGACCATTTGGCACCAAGACCGAATGGCATACCCCAGGCTGTGGTTCCCGCTGGTCTTAGCAAGTCTCTTACCCTCTCCGGAATATTGTGGACCACCCACCAATCAAAGGGCTTTATCCTATCAGTCCCACTTACGAATCGAAGAACTGTTGCACATTGTGGCACAGTGAAGGTCAAGATCAAAAATGGTATTAGCATGTATTAGCCAAAGGTCATCAGCCATCCCTGAAGACTCCAAAATTCTAAATGCACACGTTGCAAATCGGGGCTGCACTCAAGGTCATTCTGAAAATGTCACCAAGCTATAGCAAAAGAGATCCTGCAGGCCCTCTAGGCACCAGTATCGAGGGTGGAATAGGTGAACATGGCCGAACTCCCTGGGAATCAAGAAGACGCTCTGATTAAAAGCAAGGCGCCACATCGAAATCAAAGAGGCCCTTGGCCGGGGCTGGTGCTGCTGCTTTTGCCTTCGAGGCCTCAGAAGAAGCAAAACACCTCCCGAATGGCCTTGAATGTTTGGAAGTTGTCATACATTAGTAAAACAAAAGTACGTCAAAAATAAGAAAGGTGGTGGATGGTGGTCGTATGATTCAGAGAGGAAACGGCTCGGATTCATCTTGTCTCATGTGCTCTAATGCAACAGCAACTTCTGTTAGCACTGACAAGGGCAAGTGTCCACATCCACATGAGGTGAACTACCAATATCAACCTTTCCATGAGGACCCATCACTAGACATGTTCAATGGTTCTACAGAGTTGTCTAAAGGAGTATTGTTTAAACCAAATTCCTTCGACAGGGAATGTCGCAGGGGATGTCCCACGATGGCTGCCAGTCATGACGAATGGAACCTGCGAAGTCAGTCCTATTCAGTCCGTGACTAAGCAAGACATAGAAATGCACTCATCCATCATTAACAATGGATTCATTTATGTATATTTATGTAATTATTCCTTCTAGTCAGTAAAGTGAATTCATATGTCTCATTGTCCAATCAGTGTCCTCCTCCTCATCATCTGTTTATTCGGAATTATTGCTCTCAATCTCGCACCAGCGCGATGAGGCACGCCTTGGAATCATCCCCTCAGCCATCCTCAGCTCCATCCACTCCATGAGGTCTGGACGGTTTCCTTCTTCTTTTGCAGAAGGCCAGTCAAAGGATCCGCCATGCGAATGTTTCAAAAAAAAGATGACCTTCACAACGGTACCGGCTCCTTGACTGAAAAAGATCTGGTCATGATAGGTCATGATGTGTATATGGTCATATCTGGTCCTGGCAACATGTTTAACCTACGATTGAAATATGTTGAACACGTATCATTTGCCTGGCCATTATCACTTGCTGTATGATGAGGGCTGAGGGCTTTTAAGGGAACAGTCAAGTCCAAGCATGTTGTGTGGGCTGCTTGACCATCTTCTTGCTCCCGAACCCATATTGACTATTGACAATGGTGCTCCAGACTTTTCCCAAGCTTTATTTCTTGACAATCCTGGCTGGAGAATCCGCAGTAAATCACGCCTGCACAGAAAGACACATAGAGTCGACAACACGTTTGCAAGTATGCATGCTCCATGGAGACTTCCTAGTCTTGGTGAAAAGCCAAACACTCTTTCTTTCCGCTTGCTTTGTGGACTGTCAACGTGGATTGTAAATGCACACCCTTTTTCTTTGGAAGATGTCAATGAAACTCGCGCATTAAATAACCTACCAGCTCACTTGGCATGCGCCTAAGCTCACTCACTCCAGCAATTAAGAGCATTGAATCTGAGGAATCTACTGAAACAAATCGAAACAACAACAAACTGAGTCAATCAAACAACCCCTCAGACTGTCGCACAAAGCATTTTTTGGCAAAAGGTTCGCTAAAACTGCTCCAAGCATCCGCTGGCCAAAAGCAGTATCAAACAATGCTAGTTGGAACGTAACCAGCTCGACCATCTCAGCTAGTGTCAAGTACCTTGACATATGCTACACGTCACCATGGAATTGGAATCAAGTGACTTTTCATTGACTAAAAACCTAGGAAGTTAAGTTTAATCAAAAGTCCAGTAACCAAATCATTAGCGTGAGCAATCCTGCATCCAGTTGCTAGTAGCTTACCATAGCTTACCTCCTTACTTGATTAAGTAGGCGCCTACCTAATTAAGTTAGGGCGGATTACAAACAAAGGAAAAACAAATACGTGTGCAGTGCAACATGAGGCACCCAAGGAATTGCTAGTCTCGGCTTCAATTCACATTCCTAGAAAATCGTACATTTTGGAACTGGCGAATAGATCCTGAACAATGGCAGGAATTGTAGTGCAACATGTTTCCACGGTCAGTGCAAGCAAAGTCTCAGTGTCGTAGAAGCAACCCTCACCTCCTGCAACTTACCCAAAGCCGACAAACCAATGCCTGTTCCGACAAGGCAACCCTTCCTGAATATCCCAGAATTCATTCATGATGCTGGACATATCGAGGATATAACTTTAGAGCCGTTGGATGAACCCTGGCAGGTTCTGCCAAGCCATTCAGCTGCAAGAGATGCTCCACCTGACGCATGTTCCAGGGTGTTCGCAGCACTCCCAACATTGCATGATCCAATACCATCCAATACCGTTACCAACAAGTCAAGAACTGGCTGTGGGTCAAAACCAGGCCTTGGTGGACCTACCTGGAAAGTCGTTCGCTACATGGTGGACCAGTTTCGACCGATCCTCAAGTGGCAAAGAGCAAAAGCTGCTGTTCAAGAAGGTCTTCGCTCGCCTCGCCGGTGGCAGCTGGAAGTACCTTTCCCAAACGACCCTTGAAGCTGGCATTGTCACCTGAGAACACGCGAGGAGCGATGTGTCAGCATTTAACCTGGTTACCTCCATGAATACAAGAGTTCTTGCTATGAAATATGTTGTTTATTCAATATGTTGCCAGGGTCATGCAGGAGGTGAAGCATGGCAAATAGCATTTGGCTAATCTCTAAATCGGCCACAGGGCATAGTGGGAAAGCATCATTAATCATGAGCAAGAACTCAGCAAGCAACATCGCTTCTGCATCGATCTACGCAACGTACCAGCACACAATCATTGCTTTTTTAAACAGGCTGAAAAACAACTCGGAGTGTTGTCCGTGCACTTGTAGGAATGCATGCCTGGCATGCCTGCACAACCTAGCATGTCAAGCCTGACCTGTCACCCAAACCTTCACCCTTTGTTTTGAAGAAGCTGTTTGTATTTATTTGACCTTTCCATTCAACCTCGGCATTGCCAAGTAGCACGAATCATCCACCTCAACATAGGTACCTGGCTCCAAGGTTTTGAAGATCTCAGCCTTAGACATACAATGTTTGAACTTCTTTAATATTGCAAAGGAATCTGGACACCGTTTCACTTGGGACTTTTTTGAACCAAAAGCAACAAAGCTGCAACTAGGGAAGCCCTATTACCACATAGAATCATATGTTTTACTGCTGTTGCCAAGGCACCCGGAAAAATGATGCAATGGATTGTAAGCCCTCCTGCTGCAGATCTGCAGAAGACTTGAATATGCATTTGGCATTAAAAGTAGCTCGCTAGCAAGAGCATTCACGAGACAGTTACACCTGCGGTTATAGTCTTGACAGTCTCCATTTGATAAGAAAGAAAGACACACAAAATTATGGTAGCTTCAACCATTCACAGCAAAACCATGTGGCAAACAGGCAAAGCAACCTATTTATCCAGCCACTCTACATAGCTTTCGCGATGTGCAAAATAGCAGCTAGCCGAGTCCTTCCAAGACTGGACGGTCTCTACAGCATCTTCTGAAGGCGAACGCAGCCGGAGCCAGGAGGTTTTCTCGCCATCCACAAAGCTTGGCAAAGGAGTGGCCGTCAGGTAGCCTGAAAAGCAGAATTGGAACTTTTGAAGAGGATTGAAGGAATCCGTGCCTTTTGCATGGGCCTCCATCAAGAATCAGCAAGTCAAGGATAGCTTCGGCAGTTGTTCTGGTTGTCGTTCAAAATATGCTCGCGGTATGTACCAAATGATACCAAATGCTGCTATTGCAATTTATAGTTGTTAATGTCATGCCAGACCGGGACATCAAGTTCCTAGCTATGCAGCATAAGCTGCTGCAAGGCGTGTAAACAACAGAAGCACTTTATAGCACATGCATGAATATGCCCTGCATATTTACACATCTGTCTGGCATTGCCCAGCCTGGGTGTCCATGGTAGAAGCATCGCAAATGGCGTATCTCAGACACTGCTGTGAACTTTGCATCGTTCGGCACGTAGTTCACAACTTCAGGATGTACAATAAACATCCTGGACAGCGCGAGCATTGCAAAGCACAGGAGAATCTGCCAATCCTTTTGTGGTCGTAGGCAACCAAATCACAAAACAGGTCATGACATTCTCTTACTCCAGATGCACTTCCAAATACAGTGCAGCAAGTGAATGGTCAAAATGATTCAGCAACTCTGGGACTCAACATATTGCGCTAGAGCGCTGTTGCGAGTGGTACGGCGTCATGACATAGCAGGGCGTAATAAAAGAATCCTCAAACTCCGGACATTGCTGTGCTGAAAACACAACACTCGATTCAAAAGCTTCGAATGTGTTATTTCATACCCAGAGCAGAACAGAAAGCACACACAGACAATTGATGTTGCTTGTCGCTAGTGCAGTCTGCATTCAGAAACAATACCAAAGGTCCAGTCCAATTGTCCAGGTCGTTCCGACTTGATACAGTAACAAGACCTAAGGTCGGTTGAACAAAATTGCTTGCAAGACTCCAAGGTCAGTTCTTTACCATTTGGCACAGCACCACCAGGGCTGCGGCAGAAGGTGCCATAAGCTGGGCCACAAAGATCAATATGCGCCTACTCAGGGCAAGAAGGCAAGATCTCCCATGATAGTTGTTTAATGAAAGCATTCATGTGAGTCATACACTTTGACTGGTCAAGAGCTTCACAACTCCTGAGGATGAATATGAAACTGCGAAACTCCTGACAAATGCGGAAATGACTACATTGACCTTTGCCAGGTTTGGTTTCCATGATTCACAGGGTCAACGCCGGTCATGAAGCACTCAACACTGTAAACAGTCTATTAATAATTGAGTAACTGAATATAAAATCACAAGACAGGCAACATGAAAATGCTACAGCGGAATATACAGTAGGCATCCTCACTGGTATTTGCATAATAAGTTCTGACAAATCCAGGCAAACACAAACCTGAAGCCCGGAGTCATGTTGCACATCCGGCGACCGGAGCGAGCCCCGCCCATCCAGCTAGTGGTTGCGAGCAAGTTCTGCAAGAATCACTGAATTGACTGATTCACATTGATTAACTATATATATATATATATCCATCAGCTCAAGCTAAACTCCCTGAGTTAATCAATCTCCGCACAGCGGCATGCAGGTGGTGATCTTGCCCAGCTACCTCTGAACCCTGTGAACTGGGCGTCTTGCAGCCTAGAAGCCATGTAATAGCCCCTAGCACCCTGCACCACTGCGGCAATCCACCTGGTAAGCTATGCCATTCATGAAGGGGAATATGTTAGAGAAACAATAGCATTAGGCTATTGCAGAAACTGATAGGGCAGCAAAACAGGGTGAAACAAACAGGATAGGAAAAACTCAAAATGCTGTGACAGCCAGGCATCCAATGCGGCACTGTCTGCGTGAGAGACGCTTCCCCAAAGCGCTCGATAAAGTTATCTCGTAGCTCTTCAGTAAACGTAGGAGAGACTCCTAGCTCGCGAACAGGCACTCTTTTCTCGTGAACACTTGGGAACCAACAGATATGCCTTAGCAAACAACAACTGGGAGAACCAGGGACCCTTCTGGTGCCATGCCAAAGATATGCTGCTTGGGCCGGGTGACGGCAATCGAATCACTCGTTGGCGGCTTCAACTTCAGGCTGAAATTCGTGTGTGTCTGGTGTCCTTTTCGTCAAAGAAAATGTCCGCGGTGTGTGTGTCACCCCCTGTACCAAAGGGTTCAATGCCACTGTTTCC